TGGGAAATGTCGGAGCCCTTAACAAAGACCCGCCCCTTCTCACTTCCCCCTGGGCTCGCCACCAAACTTAGGAGGAGGCCAGGAAGTCACGCCCCTTCCTCCTGCTCCTCCTGCTCCTCCTCCTTCGCGTCCTCCTCCTCCTGGGGCCGGGTCGAAGGCGATTGAGTCTACCAGAGGAGGCCAGGAAGCCCTTCCTCTTCTTCATCTTCTTCATCTTACTATAACTATTATCCTTCTCCTTCTTCTGCTTCCTCCTACTCCTCCTCCTCTGGGGGGGTGTCGAAGGAATTTGAGTCGACCACCGGGGGCCAGGAGGCCACTTTTCTTCCTCTTCCTCCTCGTCGTCGTCGTCGTCCTCCTCCTCCTCCTCTTCCCGGAAGGGGTCTCTTGACATTGAGTCGACCAGAGCAGGCCAGGAAACCACTCCTCCTCCTCCTCCTCATCCCTTCTATTCTTCCCCCCTGTGCCCTCAAGACGGAGGGACGAAGGGGAGGATGGGACGAGGAGGGCCGAGATTATCCCGGGCCGTGTCGAAGAATATTAGATTCGGGAGGACGCCAGGAAGCTCGAAGATGAGACAGCGGCATAGGCATAACCTCTCGGAGCTGGACCCCCCGGTCCAGCCCGCATCCAAGAAATCCGCGTGAAAATCAACTCGGAGAAGATTGCCTAGATCATTCGACCAGATGGCGACGGGAGGTTTTGGGCCGTTTTCGGCCTCTGGGGTCTCTCAAGGGGCGCCGGGGCAGTTACACAACGACTCAGGACGACAAGCGGGTCTTGAGGGAAGGCTCGGGACTTCCGAGAACCCCGTACCGAACAAATCAGGACATCGCACGTCTGGGTTCTAGGCCTCCCAAATCGGGTCCGAGCAGACGGGGTCGGAGGGTCGTGCCGCATCGCCGATGCATCGGCGGTGCGGCTCGATGTGGAGCCCGATTTTCTCCACGCCGACGGCGCCGATACGTCGCTGACGTCGCCGATGCATCGCCGATGCATCGGCGATGCGGCTCGGAACCAGGAGTCAGCGGCGAAATCCGAGCCTTATCTTCGCCGATCAGCGATTCAGGAAACTCGATGGACGGCTGGGGGAATGTCCGGAGTTCGTCGAGCACTTGGCGGAATCCGGACCCTACCTCCGCCTCCCATCGCTTCCGGAGAATCGACGGTTTGTGGGGGTAGGCTTCGGGTGCCACCTACCAGACATGCTCGCGTCGTGCCAAAAATCACGGCGGAAGGTTTTTGGCCGTTTTGGGCCTGGTGGCCCTCACCTGAGCCCCTGGACCGCCGAAGAGCTGCTCAAGACGAAAGCCCAGTCTCGGGGGAAGAGTCGGGAATTGTGGGGGTCCTGTATGGAACAAATCCAGACACTGCATGTCTGGGTACCTCAGGAGGAGGCCAGGAAGCCACGCCTCTTCCTCCTCCTCCTCCCTCCGCTCCTTGGCCCCCTGCGCCCTCAAGACGGAAGCTTAAAGGGGAGGACGGGACGGGGAGGGCCGAGAGTATCCCGGGCAGGGGGAGGCTGCAGAGGAACACGGTGCCCTGGCCGAGCACCCGGACCGCAGCGAAGTGGAAGAGGCGGGCCGAGGAGCCGGAGGTCGGCTATAGTGAGAACGTGCCGGGACAGGGGCGGGAGCACGGCCGCGTGGCACTGGAGTTTCACGTCTTGACCGGGGGTCGTTGCCGTCCAGGCCGAGCACGCAGCCGGCATTTTTGGGCGGGGGCACGAGTCCTGGTTATACACTGCGAGGAGGCCGCGGGCAGAGCGGCTGCGGTCTCGGGCTTCTCCCGTTCTCCCGCGTCCCGCCCGTGGGACGCTTCGGTTGTCTTCTTGCTGGAGCCGCCAGGTAGAGCCCGCTAGCCAAGCGCTATTGGGGAAGCAGATGGCATCGATCGGAAGCGGAGGACAGACGCACCCAGGCCTCCAACGTATCGAACACGGTATGACGGAGGTTTGCACAGTTTTCGGCCTCCAGGGGCTCTCGCGGGGCCCCAGGATTGTCAAGCAAACGATCTTGGCGAAGGACCCAACTTTTTGCTATCGTGAATAACGTAAGGCAGGGAAGACGAAGGAAGGGGAGCTCCGTGTGGGGCCACGAGACGTGTGAGGGTATGTCCACAGGGAGAGGGGGCGCATGTGGACACCGCCGCCAAGGCCCTCGGTGGAGTTTTCCAGGGGCAGGCCACGCAAGGCTGTACCGAGGCTGCTGCTTCTGCTTCTGCTGCTGCAACAGCTGATGGTGATGATGATGCTGCTGATGATGATGATGCTGCTGATGATGATGATGGTGATGATGATGCTGCTGCTGATGACGATGATGATGATGATGATGATGATGATGATGATGATGATGAACATGACGATGATGATGCTGGCGATTCTGATGATTCTGATGCTGATGCTTCTGCTTCTGCTGCTGCAGCAGCTGATGATGATGATGGTGATGATGCTGCTGATGATGACGATGATGATGATGATGAACATGACGATGATGATACTGGCGATTATGATGCTTATAATGCTGATACTAATAATCATGATGATGCTGATGATGACGACGATTATGATGATGATGATGATGATGATGATGATGATGATGATGATGAACATGACGATGATGATGCTGGCGATTATGATGATTATGATGCTGATGCTAATGATGATGATGATGCTGCTGATGATTACGATGATGATGATGATGATGATGATGATGATGATGATGATGAACATGACGATGATGATGCTGGCGATTCTGATTATTCTGATTCTGATGCTAATGATGATGATGATGATGATGATGATGATGATGATGATGATGATGATGATGATGATGTTGATGATGATGCTGATGCTGATGATGATGATGATGATGATGATGATGATGATGATGATGATGATGATGATGATGATGAACATGACGATGATGATGCTGGCGATTCTGATGATTATGATGCTGATGCTAATGATGATGCTGCTGCTGATGATGATGAGGAGGAGGAGGATGTGGAGGAGGAGGAGGAGGAGGAGGACCAGTGTTTCCCCAATATTCAAAAAAGATACTGGAATGCACCTCTTCCCAATTTTCCCTTCACAGGCCCATTTCCACTGAGGGAAGTACCCCCCTGGGGGACAGCCGTGTGAAAATCCCGAAGCGTGCCAAAACACCATTCTCAGGACTTGAGCCCCACGAGTCAACCTGACTGTTGCGTCTTGACGATCCTGCCAGAACGCTGTTCGTGGGACGTCAACACCGCGAATCAACATAATTGATGCGCCCTGTCAAGCCTGAATCGCTCCAAAACGCCATTTCTGGTATGTTAACCAGGAGTTGCAGCGAAACTCTTGCAAATGTTTGAAAGGAACGTGCGCGGTGCTAAGGCGAGAATCACATTTCAAAAAGGAACCGCCCTCGACCCGCAAAACTCTTGCATCTGTTTGGGCGAATGTGCGCGGCGCAAAGGCGAGAGCCAGATTTCGAAATGAATCGCCCTCAGTGCAGCTTTCATGTTTAAAGCGACAATGCGCGCCGCTAAGGCGAGAGCCATATTTTGGAAACGACTCGCCCTCAACGGGTGAAGCTCTTGCGAATGTTTGAAAACGAATGTGCGCGGTGCTAAGGCGAGAGCCACATTTTGAAAACGACACGCCCTCAATCCGTGAAGCTTTTGCGATCTTTTGTTGTGAAAAAAAACCACGCTGAGCGGCGCCAGGCGAGAGCCACATTTTGGAAGCGACCCGCCCTCCATCTGTGAAGCTGTTCCCAATGTTTAGGCTTGAGGCTTATAAGTGGTAAGAGTTCGTCTCAGGCGAAACGCCCAGCTGGCCTGGCTTCGGGGTGCGACAGGGAGGAGTTATCCATGAGGAAAAATCGGAGGTGGACAGAACCCCCAACAGTGACACGTCGATTAGTGAATTGTCCGTTTTCGGTTCTCGAGAGGGCGCCGTGGCCGTTGTTTTCCAGGCTTGCGCCCGCCAGGTTTGGGCCTGAGGTCGTTTTCACTAAACCACGTTTTACTGAAGGGAGGTCTGTCCATCCCCGAAAAAAGAGGAGGATCTACGTTTTCCATCATTTCCGGTATCCAGATGCCTGTTTCGGATCCTGCGGCCGTCCGAGCTCTCTCCGGGGTGAAGAGGCGGCCAGGAGGGAACCCCGGCGTGGTCCATGGGCTGATCTTCAGCGGATTTCTGGTTCCGGCGGGGGAGGAGGAGGAGGAGGAGGAGGAGGAGGAGGAGGAGGAGGAGGAGGAGGAGGCGGAGGCAGAGGCGGAGGGGGCGGAGGTTCGTTGATCGTTGTGTTCGGCATCTCTAGGCCTTCTGGGCCTGCTGGGGCGCGCTTGTCGCCACGGCTGCATGCCCCACGGCTCTCCGCCCCCACGGCCGGATTCGCCGTGTCGGGGCGGCCGACAGGATTCCGTGGGACGAGGCAGGCGACGTCGTCGTTTCGTCAGGGCTTTCAAGGGAAAGTTCATTGCAGGCGTCGTTCTTGCGTGAAACGTCATCCCTGCAGTCTACGTGCAACGCAGTAGCTCGCACGATGCAGAGGCCTCGGCCTTCCCCACCCTCTCTCAGCGAGTCTTGGACGTTTGTCCGCAGTGGTAGTGATGGTCGTCGTCTCCCTTCTACGTGAGGGGGCGTGGACGCTTTTTCCGTGTTCCAGGGTCTTTATCTTTTTGGATTTAATTCTTGGGAGGTTGAAGTCAGCATCGGCCATGGTATATCCGTGATAGAAAACCGGCCTAATCCGACCTAACCCTTCGCATTCCCGTCCAATTCCGTTCAGCCCCGTGTCCTCCGGCTCAGTCCGGCTTAATCTGGCTTCAAAGTCCCGTCCCCTTGTCGGGCTTAATAGAGCCAGTCATCCTTCTTGCGAAGAATACCCCAGGAATTGTCTCGTAGCCTCATCTTGGTGCTCGCCCTCCAGTAGTACCGAGCTCGACCACAGGGGCAGCGGCGGCGACGACGACCGCGCCTTCGGGGAGTTTTGGGTTCTCTAGAGCAGGGGCGCCATGGCGGTCACGGTGGAGATCGAATGCCACGACCCGTCGGGCCTCACCCTGCCGTACCCCTACAAGGAGGAGAAGTACAAGGAGTACAGCGACAGGCCCAGGGCGCCGAAACGTATGGCGATGCTTACGCTGATGCTGTTGCTGGCGATGATGAGGATGAGGATGATATTGATGGTGCTGCTGCTGATGATGATGCTGATGCTGATGCTGCTGCGGCTGCTGCTGATGATGAGGATGATCCGGTTGATAATGATGATGCTATTGATGATGATGATGCTGATGATGATGATGCTGAGGATGATGATGATGATGTTGCTGCTGCTGATGATGATGTTGTTGATGATGATGATGAGGATGAGGATGAGGATGAGGACGATGATGCTGATGCGAATGGTGATGATGATGGTGATGATGATGATGGTGGTGGTGGTTGTGATACTGATGATAATGATGATGACGATGATGACGACGATGATGATGACGATGCTGATGATGCCGATGATGTTTAAGTTGAAGGTGGAGATGAATCTGATGCTGCTGATGATGCTGCTGATGATGATGATGGTGATGAGGAGGAGGAGGAGGACCAATATAAACCTATCAGCGATACTTGAATAAACTCTTCCCTCCAAGCTACCTCTTCACAGGCCCCTACAAGGATTCATTTTCACTGAGGCAAGTGCCCCTTTTGGAGACAACCGTTTGACGATCCTGGGACGTGCCCAAACACAATTCTCGGGACTCGAACGCCACGAATCGACTTGATTGTTGCGTCTTGACGATGCTGCATCGTGCCAGAACACCAGTCTTGGTATTCTAACACCGCGAATCAACGTAATTGTTGCGCACTGACAGTCCTGAATCGTTTCAAAACATGTTCAGTACGCTGACCAAGGGAATCCGTGCAACTTTTGCAATTTTGTAAGGCGACTGTGCGCGGCGCTAAAGGCGAGACCCACATTTTGCAAAGGAGCCGCCCTCAATCCGTGTATCTCTTGCAAACTGTCGAACGACTGCTTGCGGCGCTAAGGCGAGGGCCATATTTTGAAAACGGCTTGCCTTCAATTCGTGAAACTCTTTCGCCACATGTTGAAGTAGGCCCGCCCTCAATCAGTAAAACCCCATGCATATTTTGAAATGAATGTGCGCGGCGCTAAGGCGAGAGCCACATGTTGAAAACCAACCGCGCTTCATCCGCGGAGCTGTTGCCAATTTCTTAAAAAAAAAGCTTCTGGGCCAGAGCTACTGGGAAACGCTTAGAGAAAAGGCCTGCTGGCACACGCCGCAACTTCGGACAGGCCCCGCCGGCAAGCCAAGGGCCGCCGCGGGCACGCCCTTCCGACGGGCCTCGGGGGGCGACGGGGAGGAGTTGTGCATAAGGAAACGGAATGGAGGAGGAGCAGGCGGAGGAGGATCAGCAGGAGGAGGAGGCGGAGGCAGAGGCGGAGAGCACCCCGACGAGACTTCGCGGACCCCTGGCTGGCTGCGCTCGGAGCAGCTGCTACCCCTTTCGTGGGTCCCTGGGCGGTCCACCGGAGTCGGGAGCCACGCGCACCCAGGCGAGGCCTCGCTGATCCCTGGGGGCCCGCGAGCTTCGCAGCTGTCGCCGCCTTCGTGGCACGGCGGGGTCTGGGGCCACGCGCACCAAGCCGAGGCTTCACAGCTCCCCAGGCGGCTGCGAGCTGCGCAACCGTCGCCACTTTCGTGGGCTCCTGGGAGGTCCAGCGGAGTCGAGGGCCGCGCGCACCCAGACGAGACTTCGCTGCTCCCTGGGTGGCTGCCAACTGCGCAGCCGTCGCCACTTTTGTGATCTCCTGGGATGTTCGGCGGAGTCTGGGGTCACGCGCACCCAGACGAGACCTCGGTGCTCCCTGGGTCTGTGAACTGCGCAATCGTCACCACTCTCGTGGGCTCCTGGGATGTCCAGCGGCGTTGGGGGCCACGCGGATCCAGGCGAGACCTCGCGGCTCCCTGGGTGGCTGCGAACTGCGCAATTGTCATCACTACCGTGGGTTCCTCGGATCTCTGGCGGAGTCGGGGGCCACGCGCCCTCATTTGAGACCTCGCTGCTCCTTGGAATGCTACGAAATGAGCAATTGTCGCCACTTTCGTTAGCTACTGGGAGGTCCAGCGGAGTCGGGGACCACGCGGATCAGGCGAGACCTCCATAGTCTCTGAGAGGCTACGAGGTGCGCAATTGTCGTCATTTTTGCAGGCTCGTGGGTGGCACGGCAGATGTGAGGGCAGCGTAGATCGTGCAAATTGGGCGATGTGTTCTTTCCTATGGAGCGCTCAGGCAAAATATTTGCCTCGCGTGGAGAAGGGGGTGGGTAAGTCTCGGATACTTTGTTTGTTTATTTACCTAACAGCGAAGACTGATAGGTTTCTAGTGGTATAAAAAGAGAGCAGCACATTACTCCACAGGGGGGTCTGGGCAGCCGTTGGGGAGCCGTTGGGGGGCCGTTGGGGTTTGCCGGGGGGGATCGTTTTTCGCATACAGTCACACACTTCGTGCTTTTCGATTTCCCAGAACTCCATTCCCGGGCCACATTCTGAATGCCCGGAGCCAACTGTAGGCCACTTCGTGCTCTTCGACTTCCCAGAACTCCATTCCCGGGCCACATTTTGAATGCCCGGAGCCAACTGTAGGCCACTTCGTGGTCTTCGAGTTCCCAGAACTCCATTCCTGGGCATGATTTTGAATGCCCGGAGCCAACTGTAGGCCACTTCGTGGTGTTCGAGTTCCCAGAACTCCATTCCTGGGCATGATTTTGAATGCCCGGAGCCAACTGTAGGCCATTTCGTGTTCTTCGAGTTCCCAGAACTCCATTCCCGGGCCACACTTTGAATGCTGAGGCAGGCTGATGCTGAGGCTGAGGCAGGCTGAGGCTGAAGGCAGACTGAAGCTGAGGACGAGGCTGAAGGCAGACTGAGGCTGAGGCTGAAGCAGGCTGAGGCTGAGGCAGGCTGAGGCTGAGGCTGAGGCAGGCTGATGCTGAGGCAGGCTGAGGCTGAGGCTGAGGCTGATGCAGGCTGAGGCTGAGGCAGGCTGAGGCTGAGGCCAAGGCTGAAGGCAGACTGAGGCTGAGGCTGAAGCAGGCTGAGGCTGAGGCTGAGGCAGGCTGAGGCTGAGGCTGAGGCTGAGGCAGGCTGAGGCTGAGGCTGAGGCTGAAGGCTGAGGCTGAGGCTGAGGCTGAGGCTGAGGCTGAGGCAGGCTGAGGCTGAGGCTGAGGCTGAGGCTGAGGCAGGCTGAGCTGCTGAGGCTGAGGCTGAGGCTGAGGCTGAGGCTGAGGCTGAGGCAGGCTGAGGCTGAGGCTGAGGCTGAGGCTGAGGCTGAGGCTGAGGCTGAGGCTGAGGCAGGCTGAGGCTGAGGCCGAGGCTGAAGGCAGACTGAGGCTGAGGCTGAAGCAGGCTGAGGCTGAGGCTGAGGCAGGCTGAGGCTGAGGCTGAGGCTGAGGCAGGCTGAGGCTGAGGCAGGCTGAGGCTGAGGCTGAGGCTGATGCAGGCTGAGGCTGAGGCAGGCTGAGGCTGAGGCCGAGGCTGAAGGCAGACTGAGGCTGAGGCTGAAGCAGGCTGAGGCTGAGGCTGAGGCAGGCTGAGGCTGAGGCTGAGGCAGGCTGATGCTGAGGCAGGCTGAGGCTGAGGCTGAGGCTGATGCAGGCTGAGGCTGAGGCAGGCTGAGGCTGAGGCCGAGGCTGAAGGCAGACTGAGGCTGAGGCTGAAGCAGGCTGAGGCTGAGGCTGAGGCAGGCTGAGGCTGAGGCTGAGGCAGGCTGAGGCAGGCTGAGGCTGAGGCTGAGGCTGAGGCTGAGGCTGAGGCTGAGGCTGGCTGAGGCTGAGCAGGCTGAGGCTGAGGCTGAGGCAGGCTGAGGCTGAGGCTGAGGCTGAGGCTGAGGCTGAGGCTGAGGCTGAGCAGGCTGAGGCAGGCTGAGGCTGAGGCCGAGGCTGAGGCTGAGGCTGAAGCAGGCTGAGGCTGAGGCTGAGGCTGAGGCTGAGGCAGGCTGATGCTGAGGCAGGCTGAGGCTGAGGCTGATGATGCAGGGTGAGGCTGAGGCAGGCTGAGGCCGAGGCTGAAGGCAGACTGATGTTGAGGCTGAAGCAGGCTGAGGGCGAGGCTGAGGCAGGCTGAGGCTGATGCAGGCTGAGGGTGAGGCTGAGGCAGGCTGAGGCCGAGGCTGAAGGCAGACTGATGTTGAGGCTGAAGCAGGCTGAGGGCGAGGCTGAGGCAGGCTGAGGCTGAGGCAGGCTGAGGCTGAGGCTGAGGCAGGCTGAGGCTGAGGCTGTGACTGCGACTGCTGTTGCCACTGCGACTGCCATCGCGAATGCGACCACGACTGCGAGAACAGCAGAATTCTACAACAGGATTCTTATCTGAATCTTAAGGGGAATGCTTCCAGATATGCTCCTACACATCGCTGTTAGGTTGCTTTGCCGGGATAATTTTTAATTTTCGCGTGTTTACACACATACGTATATATATATATATATACAAGACTGCATTGGCGCTTCGCGCCATGCGCCTTGTTCCGGACGCTTCTCGGAAAAGCAATCAGTCATCGCGTGTTTCAGCAGAGGGGGCGTCGAGACCACGAATACGACCACGATCACGAGGACCACCACCACCACCACCAGCACCACCACCACCACAACCACCACGACGACGACGCCGACGCCGCCGACGACGACGACGACGACGACGACGATGGGGCGCTCGTCTGAACTGCAGATGGGGCGCTCGTCTCTCGAGGCCCTCTGGAAGCTCCCGATGGGACCAGAAGCGAAGCGCTCAGAAATTCTTTACGCTTCGCGTATCCCCACCAGCCCATCTCACAACAGCAACTCTTGCGAAGCATGCCGAGAGTCGTGTTTTTCAGGCGTGTTTCCGCCTGCCCCCGCATATATCCCCTGTTCCTCCTTCCCCCCGCCTCCTTGTACACCCTCCTTGTGGTGGGAGCGGGAGAGGGACGAGGCGGAGGAGGAGGGAGAGAAAGCGCTCCTCGTGGTTTGAGTCGTTCGGGCTCTTCGTCCTGGTGTGAGTCGTTCGGGCCCTTCTTCCTGGTGTGAGTCGTTCGGGCTCTTCGTGGTGTGAGTCGTTC